ACGCCTTCACTTTTGGGGCGTTTTGATACAGTTTGTTGTCGTATGTCGTGTCGGTGTCGAGAAGAGCGGTGGGGCTTGGGAGTTTGTGACCGGTGTTATTCGTGAACACTGGTGTGGGGCGCTGATGCGTCTTTTTTTATACTGCCACCACCCCGAACTTTGAAGATACACGGGCCCGTGGCAGTGCATTATGCTGAATCGCGAGCTCCTTCTCTGTTGACGTCGCTTTCCTGGTACCACTCGTGGGTACTGCAAGCGTTTAAACAGTGTGCACCGTCTCGCCTACATCCCCGGTGACGTACTCGACCTGTTGAAACTTATTGCTTCCGTCATTTTAGAGTACGCAAGGCAGTTATCTCGTTGGTCTGGTTTCGGTTATAAAAGCAAGGCAAAACGCTCGTAGTTCCCGCCCTCACTACACGTTGGACATCTTCCACACTTTGACACCGGATAACCGAATGAACGAGGATTTACATTCACTTCCGAGGTTACTCTCGCCGCTTCCTCACCGTTGAGCAGCAGGATGAGCTGGCGACAAGCCGCGGATGAAAGGCTTGAGCATCAACAGCCCAAGCGCACTCGGTGCCGATGCGGGCGACGCGGGTTTCTGTCAACCGGGAGGCCAGCACAAACCGTGACCGTTCCAGCTCTTCGTCATGACACGGTGTTGCAGAGAGCAGGGTAAAATACAGCTACACGGATCACCGAAGCAAACGACTGCTATATTAAATCTTGGCTTTTGATTGCGCCTTTGTAGTAGATCATCTTATTCGTTTTGCTGGAGAGACGCAAACGACGGGCATAACAAAATCGCTTGCGTATTCCGCATATCTCACAAAAGCATTTACCCTGTCACCTTGCGAAAAGCGCGAAACACGGAGGCCGCACCGTCCTAAGCTTCCCGTTTTTTACCTGCTTTAGAGCAGTTTGTACCTGCTAGTAGATATGCCTACTGAAACTGAAACAGGGCAGTGCCAGAGAGAAAGAGACAAAGTTGGGAAAGCTTGCTCGCTCTCCAATTTCTCAACTCTCAAGTAATTGTACCATAATAAATGCACCAACGCGTCTTCCAAAATAAAGAAAGAGCACTACGTTCACAACATAAAAAATGGCCTCAGTACATGCATCTGTGGGCAGGTAGGAAACCTTGCCCTACTTTATTCACGCCGCATGATTGGCGCAACAAACTCGTTGCAGGACCGAATCATCTACTCGAGCGGTGTGCGTCGCTATGCAAACGCAGTCCAACACGAAGCATAAAAAACGGCAGATTTAAGACAACAATCCGGAGTCCATTATTCGATTAAAACAACGTAATTTTGTTGAAAACGCCCGCTGCTTCTTACTCACGGTATGTGTCGGGATACTTCCACAGTTTGAAACGGAACGAAGGAAGATTTACTTTTAAAAACGCTCGCTGCGTCCTCCCGGATCAGCTGGACCGGATCAGCTGACGACGACGGGACTGTACCCGTTGAACCTCCACCACGCAACAAACAATTTGCGCTCCGTGTTAAAAGTGTGGTTCAAACAGACCCGGAATACAAAGCACCGCTCCACACACGACGAATGTTTCAGCTCTTTTTCGCATCGCCGGGTTGCACCAAACAGAACGAGATCGCCGAAGTCAACGCCGCGCTGTCGTGAACCTTAGCTTGTGGTTGCGAACTCGTGGACCCTGTGACTCCCTTCGCTTTCAAAGCACACACGACGATTACGAATGCTACTTTCCGTCTTCCAGGAACATCACAGGGACACTTCTCCGGTCACGTCTTCACTATGTGCTCGCAAACTCCGATGCTCTATGCGAAGCTTCTCGCGTCCCGTCAAACCAAAACAGTAGCGGCGACATGCGTACTTCCCAGATTTTCTCCGGTCAAACAAAAACAACGAAAACCAACCGGCGCTTGCTACCAGCGTACATCGGCGTTGCGCTTGCGCCGTGGCCAGATCGCTTGCAGTTGAAGGTTGAAGCAAAAACGAAACCAGCTGCAGTGTAACGTGTTCACATCGAGGACACGCTTTTTATATCCATTTTAACTGTTTGGAACGAATAATTAGACTCATGACTTTATTTGTGGTGTGTAAGAAACTATTATCAAGACCCCTAAACTAAATACAAACATGGGCGACATGAGGGAAGCCGCATTGCCATCGACCAGAAAATGGCGGCGAGCACCGCGAGCACGGTATACCGTGCTCGCGGTGCTCGCCGCCATTTTCTGGTCGATGGCAATGCGGCTTCCCTCATGTCGCCCATGTTTGTATTTAGTTTAGGGGTCTTGATAATAGTTTCTTACACACCACAAATAAAGTCATGAGTCATGAGTCGAAACCCGCGCTTATAAGCGCGGGTTTCGCCAACGTCCTGCGACATGGCGCAATTGCTTTTGGTGCATATCTGTCTCCGAGACATGTTTCTTTCCGCGGCATTTGTCTCGACGGTCCTTTCTAAGTGTGTCCCCAAGCATTCCGGTGCTTCGATAGCCGGCAATGCCGCGGTCGTCGCCGGGGGCGATGCGTGTTATCGAGGTCGGCTACACGGTTATGCGTGTATGACCGAACCAAAACACGTTTTTTACAACCTCGCATGATTTCTGAACGAATTATCCGTTACTCATCGTGTAAATTTATGGTAATTTGTATAAATAGCGTGTTTTTCACCCCAAATATTCGCCAAATACACGGGACTTGCTAACAGTGTACGACGAAGCTGCTGGCTGAGGTCATTGTAGGTTTCTGCTCCTCACTGGCCGTTCCGTAGTGCAGCCGTCGGCGTCGAAAGGATCGAGACTGCCGCAGTCGGCTGGAAGGCGCAAGATGGAGCGGGCCGCCACTTCTGACACCATGTAGTGGAACACGACACGCAGGGTCCGAGAGCCGGTGACGAAGAAGAAGCAGCTCGCTCCCGGCGGTTTTATTTATAACCCACTTAACAAACACGTGGCGCCCTCTAGGGTAGTGGCGCTACTGTACAATATCTACAACAGTAAACGACTAATCAATAGCGATATTTTTCGCATAAACCTTTTTAAGTGTCTGGAAGAACAGATCACCCAAAACAAAATCAGATCCTAGACTTGTCACACTCATACTGTCGCTTATTTCGAGGCAAATTTTTTAAATGTTCTCCGATGCTCAGTAGTGTTGGTTTATATTCTATTACAGTCTTCAAAGAAATAAAGTGCGTTTTTTTTATGACAGGTGTTCCTAAACAACAATGTAACCCACTTTTTGCATTAATGCCTCGCGATAAGGAAAGACGGACATTCAAGACAAACAATCTTTCCTTATCGTAAATTAGGTACAAACACGCTTACCCATCTACATGCCTCGCGGCGATGCAGGTTTTTCTTTATGTAAAAATATAAGAAGTTATTAGAAACGTATTATTAGTAGTTATAACATCTTATATAACCTAGTATATATACTCTTACAAGCTTCTTGTTTGTTTCTATATGATCTTATTAGATAATAGGTTGGCCTCTCCTGGACAAAAAACAATTCTTGTATTTCTAAGATTGTTTACGAGGCTAATCACTGAAGGCGTAAGAAGCGCTGGGCGTTGGCTAGTTTTCTTTACGCGTCTGATTTGAGAGTAGCGCTCCGGCGTTATTATGAGCTGATGACGCAACCTAATGGGCCGTGGAACGATAATGACATGCTCAATTAGGACCCCCGACACCCAACGTTTCTCAAGCTGTCGGGGACTAAACGGCGAGCAAGTATTCTGAAGCGCGTATTTGGCAACTGGGAACGCAAATAGCGGCACACCGATCGAGTGGCAACATAGACAACACGTAGAGAAGGTGAAATTACGAGGCAGCCAAGCTCGGGTCGTCATTAGTCGAGGCCGGGAGGAAACAAAGGCCAATGGGCACATCTTAAGGGTAAACGAACGCACGGCGTGCGCAAAGAGCAGACGACCTTGCATGCCGTATTAAGACGCTAGGTACCCTCGCGGACGCCAAAAGAGACCCAAGAGGGCCTCTTTGGGCGTAAGCAGTAGCTTCAAGCTCTTTCATATCTCAATTTGACGAGTTGCTTCACGAATGAGACTCCAATCTTCGGATTCCACGCGTAGTTCACACCACAGTTCTTTTAAAAACTGGCAGGTAGACCAAATGAGCACAAAGCACTCTTTCACCTTATATTATCCGCGACAGCCATGAAACGCGTTTTCGAACTTCTTCCTCCTTTCCTCTAATCCTCAAGTCAAAACCGAAATGAGAAATCACGTGGTCGTGACGTGATTCAGGTGCACAAGCTTCCACCATTCTTTTTAAGCACACCTGTCATTCGCAAATGTTGATAAGTGCCGTCAAGGCACTGATTGGCCACGAAGGCGAAACCAAATGTTTGTAAACGGATTGATTGTTTGCGAATGCATGCGTCCGAGTAACGCAGTGCTCGTGTCCAATGCATGAGCTGGGGCCGGCTGACGTGCTTTTGGGCTTGAGGTACCGCGGAAGTGAACAGGAGGAGAGCTTTCGAAGGAAAGGAGATACATAATAGTACGCTATATTTTCAGATTTTCGTGGCGAAAAGCAAGCTTTTCACTTTGTACTATCTTTATTTTGGTCCACACTCAAAAAACATTGTGTAGCTTTTCCACCTCTTGTCACATATATGACACCCCAAAACCTCAGTTCGGCGTACACCGCACTGACGTTGAACCGAAGGAGCAAACATTCACGAACGGCTTCATATCCGAATCGTATAACTTACTAAAATAACTCATGCACTTATGACTCACTGTAAATAAGTAATCGGGTATTTTTTTTTTTTGCCCTATTGCAAAATTTTAGTGATTTTCTTTTCTAGTTTTTGATAAGTCCTTTAGGTGTTTAACATGTTATATCCCCTCGCCATCAAGCCTCTCGTAAAAGTTGGTGCTGTCAGTTCGACGCTATTGCGCTGTACGTGGAATCGAAGTTTCGGGGTGTTTTATATGTGACAGGGGGCAGAAACACGTGTCTGTTGTTTCGGTTTCTACGCAGGAATGGTGGCCGCTCTTGACCAGTCGGTGGGCGACGTCTTCCGCGCCCTGCAAAGGAAGGGCATCGTGGAAGACACGATCGTGCTGCTCACCTCGGACAGCGGCGGTGCAGCCGGGGGAGTGGAGCAGGGCGTGGGCTCCAACTGGCCGCTGCGGGGCACGAAGAAGACGCTGTGGGAAGGCGGCGTCCGCGCCGTGGGCCTCCTCTGGAGCGCCAAGCTGCCCAAGGGACGCGTGGCCTCCCAGCTCATCCACGTCACCGACTGGCTACCGACGCTATATTCGGCAGCCGGTGAGCCGAAAAAAGGATAGTGTGCCTAGATGTGAGAGTGGTTCCAACTGTTTGATTTGGGTCACGTTGTTTATGGCCGCGTTTACAATGCAAAGTGCGAGGAGGCGGCAAAAGCGTCGAGGGTCTCCATGCCTTCCAGCTCCCCTTAAATGACAAGTTCGTTGTGCTGAACTTTAAACTTCACCTAAGAAGGCGAACACGGAGCACGGATTGAACACGAGTCCAGCATTAGAGTTCGCCTGGAATCCCCGTTCTATCAGTGAGAGCACTAGCCTCAGCGGAACGTTGACGCTGCACTCGTGTCTAAGTTTTATCCCGCGTTTGCCCCTTTAGGTTATGTTGGAAACTCAGCCAATCGCGGCCTGGTTATCATACACGTGTTGCCTCTCCGCCCGTAGCCTTTTCGCCCGAGGAGACAACGTACCCATGAGCATTTGTAACCGATGTGTCCAGGGGTCCACCATTCAATTTGCGTGCGCTCGTCCAGGTTTGACTTGCCCCATCTCTTAAATCTAGACCCTCAAAGAGAAATTCTCTGCACGACAAGGAAGTGGCTACAACGCAAACTATGCGCCTAGAGAGATGCGGATACAAGAGAGCGTGGGGACATCAGAACGTGGAACTGTGGATGGCATGATTAGTGGGTAGACCTAAAGCTTTGTCCGCACGTTTCCTCGTCGAAAGCATTATAACGCGGAACGCCGGCGTCCGGCGTTTGGGTTGAGTGGAGTGGAGGCAAAAGCAGTTAGTCTTAGTTCTACCCACTAATCATTCGAGCCATAGCTGTGGATTCTTAAGTCCCCACTCGCGCTTGCATATTCACCTCAATCAGTTTTACGGTGCATAGCTGCCTTTGTCTTCACTGCACTCGTCGAAGGTGTTTGCGTATGCAAAAGCCAAACACCTGGTGCCGTTGGTTTGAAATTTAACGCGTTCGACAAGTGCAGTGGAGAAAAAAAAAAGCTTCTAGCTTTAGGCTCCACCCACTAATATAAGTCGAAAGAAAGACTCACCCTTCAGACGTCCCCCGCGCTATCGTCTTCTCCTCTCCCTAAAGGCTTATTCACACGATGCATCTTCTCAACGCGCCACAGTTTAGCGAAACCGAGATTTTGCGAAATCGGCCTGTTCACACGTAGAGCTTGACGCGCGAACCCTGTCACGTATTGGCTCACGAGAATTTCGCCAAACCTTGTCATCTGCAACGGGAATATCAAGCGTTTCGTATCAAAATGATATGAAGTACGCACAGTGTGAAAAGACAGTCTGCTTTATTATTGCAACTCAATAAACTTAATCAGATTCGGCTCATTGGGCTTACTAGTCCTGCCAAACCCGGGAAAGACCGCGAACGTCAAAAAACAGGCGAATGATCTCGAAGCATTTCGGACATTCTTGCATCGCTAAAAGGAAATTACCCCAGCCAACACGTTTATATGCGGTGCTTGCACTCGTCGCGATTGCTGATGAATATGCACCGCGCCACCAACCCGTACTGCTAAAGCGCAGTTCACACGCCTGCAACCGAGTAGGACCAAGACCCAACGGCGCACCGCTTCTCCGCTGGTCGCTCGCCATGTTTTTTTTGTTTTTTTTTCGGCTTTGGCTCGAATACGGAATCGGCCAAAAATCAGAGTCCTCCAAAAGCTCGCTCCTCCTCGAACGTCAGACGTCATAGCGAAGTCGAGCGGCCATTGGCAGCGTCCGCGTTTCTCCTCCGGGTGATTGCCAGGCGTCGGTGAGATTTCAGCGAAAATTTGCTCCAGAAGCGAGGAACACGCGCCACTTTTTTCGGAGGCGCGCCATTTTTTCGGACGCGTTCCGACGGGGAATCTGTTTCCTGAAACCTAGTTTCGCGACACAAGATTCGCCAACAAGATGTATCGTGTGAATAGACCTTAAGTTCCTCGGCGCACAGTTGGTGACAGGTGAAATCGCGAGACACATGCGTCACAAAGCTACCCTATCCGACGTACGAACCATCGTTGAAATGGCTGCTCCGACTCGCCGCACACGACAGTTTTTCGACGCATCATTCCGTCCAGCTCCGCCAAGTTCCTGGTATCCCTTACCTGGATGGATGGATAGATGCTAATGACTGTATTTATAGCGGGCAGTCTCTTAGCAGCAAGAAATACGTTTGAAATTTCTCCAAGTTTATTTAGAATTTATAAATAGTTTGGTCCGCAATACAAGCACATGATCAAATATACATTAAAATTATAGTATTCAAATGTTTGCGCCATGTACACTTAAAATATCTTGAAATGCAAACATTTAATCCTATAACACTAGAAACTCATTTCAAATGCACTCATGAGATTATCATCTAAAAACACACAAAAAATGAAAGCCGTTTACAATTCCCTGTAACGCCGGTTAGAGCACAGCTCTTGAGGAGGAAGATGGAAGCGTACTAAGGGATAGGTGACTCCTTGAGGTCACGTGACCTAAAAGAGCTCGCGTGACGTCAGGGGGGTCACGTGACCTCGGGGGTCGCGTGACTTCGGGGGGGTCACGTGAACTTGGGGGGTCACCTGTCCCCAAGGGGGTCACGTGACCTCAGGGGGGTCACATGGCCTCAGTGGGGTCACGTGGCCTCAGGGGGGTAACGTGATCTGAGTCGGGTCACGTGACCTGAGGGGGTCACGTGACCTCAAGGGGGTCACGTGACCTAGGGGGGTCATGTGACTTCAGGGGGTCACGTGGCCTGAGGGGGTCACGTGACATCAGGGGGTCACGTGACCTAAGGGGTCACGTGACCTCGGGGGTAACGTGACCTAGTTGGGTTAAGTGACTTCGGGGGGTCACGTGACCTCGCGGTTACGCCGACGGCGACGCCAACGCCGACTGCGACGCCGCTCAAGCCGGAAACGGGCCCCGAAGAGCTGCGCTCTAATACACCACCATTGCGATAAAAGTACGCGTCCCAAAGATACATTTCGAATTGGCTTGAAGTACGTTAAGCAGCATTAATAGCACTTGCGTATATTTAAATATCTTTGAAAATATATATGCTTGTGAAACTATAAACTAATTGCATGCAAAAAAAGTTTTGAAACCCAAGCAGTCGGCTCTCGCGGCACGATTGCTACGTCGTTGTTCTGCTTTACACTGTTCACATGTGCACTGACATTTTATACAGCTCTCTCGAGACTTCATGCGGGTTAAATAGTAGTTGCTCAAAATCTGAAATTACCTTTCTAGACACTAGAGTGCTAATTAATGACTCTAAAGTGGCCACCCAACTGTACCGAAAACCTACGGGTCGTCAGAAATACTTGCACTACGACAGCTGCCACCCACGGCACTGCAAAAATAGCATACCTTATAGTCAGGCTCATAGGTTTAAACGTATATGTTCAAACAACGACGATTTTAAAACAAGCACCGATCAATTCCGGCAAGTCCTGGAAGAACAGAAGTACCCGGAAACGATCATAGACGATGCGATCAATAAGGCACAGGTCCTTGATCGTGGCCTCTTGTTGAGTGAGCGGAGCCCTCAGACAGAGGAGCGTCGGGCGAACCTCGTACTAACTTTCAACAACAAGTCTCCGAATGTCGCACCCATATTAAGAAAACATTTTAACATTGTACAGCAAAGTGAACGCCTCGCAAGGATTATCCCTTCCGTTCCCCGAGTAGTCTACACACTTCTCACGCAATCTTAGGGACGCCATAGTTAGGTCTAAGACAACTTACACTGAAAGCACTGGCAGTCGTTCTTGTGGAAGAACAAATTGCGAGGTCTGTCAACACGTGACACCTAAAACCATGGAAGAGAGCACGAATTCCAATTTCACCTACATAATCCACGGAAACTTAAACTGCGGCACGAGTAATGTGATATACCTCCTGACATGTGGCACCTGCGCTAAGCAGTACGTGGGCCAAACCAGCACAGCTTTCCGGTTGAGGTTTAACAATCACAGGGCGCATGTAAATTCATTTCCCAAACTCCCCCTTTCAAAACACATGGCTTTACCCAAACACACGTTTGACAAACTGGACGTTACATTTTTTACAATCCAATTTCAAAAGCAACCGTGATCGCGAGCAGAGAGAATCGTATCTTAATTAAAATCTTAATTCCACCCGGGCCGGTATTAATGAAGATCCAGGTATAATGTCATCTGTGGATGCAATCTACTTTGATCGCCCTTTAGCGGAGTGACTGTAGCTAATTCAATCCCATTAGTTCGACCCTTGAATTTTTCCGTGCCCGTTTTTGCGCTTGTCCGTGTTACTCGCTTGTGATTGTCCCTTGTGTCGCGCAAAAACCTCTAGACTGTATCATGAACCAACTAGGCCAACAATTTTTAATTTCCGTGTACCTTTCTGTTTAACCTGTCGATGAGTCAACGGGTCATGACCTTCAACAGGCATCTTCCACCTGTTGCTCATTGTTGAATGTTCTGGGACTGTGGTCAGCACTGTTATATTTAAGTTTTTTTTTTTTTTTTTCTTTTTGTTTCAGGGGATTTTTTTATGTGCTTTGGCCGAGCGTTTGCTTGATTTACTGTGTGCGCTTTTTTCAGTCATTTTTATTTAATGCAGGGGATCTGTCTACGCGCGTTGGCGTTGATTTACTGTGTGCGCTTATTTCACTTTTGGTCACGAAATCTGACGCGGCCTTTGGTTGGCTCCGATGGCTGGCGTCGTCTGCTGCGGCCGGGCGTGGAGTGGGAGGGAGTACAGCAGCGTTTTTTACTTGGAATTTTACTTGGGCATTTTTACACGTGGTCTGACAGGCGACGCGACCCGGTGGAAACCGAAAACAACTCTGTAACCGATTCTGGCTACCAGTCTTGAAGAAGGCCTGTCTCAAGACGAAACGTCGACTCACTAAATGCTTTAACACTCCAACAACGTTTCGAAGTGCGATTTCATTACCATACATATACCGTTGCATTTGTTTTGTTGCGCACATACTTTCGAAAAAAATAGCTAGTTGATTGATTTTACTTTTAAATGATGTAGAATGCTTTTTCCATGGCCTCCAAAAAGTATGTGCATCATGAAATGCATAAACAACGAAAAATACGAAGAGTTTAGTTTCAAGCAGTGCCTAAAATGGCGCCTATCGAACTCAACAGTCCGCTCAGTTAGGGCCAACAGGGACGCCGGTGAAAGACTCTCCTCAGTCAGTGGGGTTGAAAGAGGTTGTCTTATCCCTGAACATGAATGCTTTTTTAGAAAGATGTACACGTAGTATAGTGTCCGCCATGTTGCTGCCGGTATATCGATACGCTTGCTCACCAGTTGCATGCAGTGCTGCAGTGCAGTCAAAGCCTCCGGCGGCAAAGAGAGGAAAGGCGCTTTTGTGTCATTTTTTAGTGACGGGCTAATCTCCGAAAGGGTCAAAAGCGACTTCGGGTTACCCGAGAAGGAGTCCGGGTAAGGGTGATTTCCTCCTTCACCTCCTCTCCCAATGCTTGAGTACCGGTCTCGCCCCTGCACCTTTAGTAGCGATGCGTTCAACTAGTGAAATGGAGTATGGATCGCCTGACTATCCAGGAGATAGAACAATCGCGCCAATAAAGTTTAACTTCTGTAGTGGTGGCGTCAAACACAAAGTACTTCTTTTTACATCGATGGCTGCCATTGGCGAGGTTTCACACAGAGTCCGGTGTGTTTATGATGTGCGGTGTGGCCCTCGAAATTTATAGGGAAATCACAGTGTTATGTCGCACTGTAAGGCCATCCGACTTGATTCCTTACTAAATTTAAGTTGTACATTTTTTGGCTGTACAGCGGGAATCAGTGACGTAACATAACGTCCCGCGGTGTGACGCCACCTCATACCGTTACGTCGCGTGAAGAGACGGTACCACAAAACGTTACGTCACGTGAACCTTGTCCACACCACAGCTAGGCCCAATATACTGACGTCTTATAAGCTAAATTTATCGGTAAAATGTTTCCGCTATATTCTGCGGGAAACTTGTGGCATGACGTGACTCTAGGATGGCACAGTTACGTGACATTGTCATGTGTCACGTGGCGTGGTTGTAACATGTGATGCTAAGTATACTATGCCACGTGACGTCACAATATTCCACTAAATTGAGCAGACAAATTGCGACGTCACCTGACAATGTAATTTTCGTAAAATGACCAAATTTTAAAGAGTGGTGGACAATGCTTGTGCTTATACGCTCTGCAGCAGAGCGTGCAACACTTTGGTTGGCGTCTCAGTTTATTTGCAGCCACCTGCAAAGAACCGCCGATTTCTTTTCTTTTTTTCCGACGCAGCCCTTATTTTACGTTACCAAACGCTGACTCACGTTCAATCTGTCTCACCAGCATTCTGAAACAGCTCACCTCCGCATGTTTCTTTATGAAGCGCAGGCGGTGACATAACCGACCTCGGTTCAATTGACGGCAAAGACCTGTGGACAGTTCTCGTGGATGACCGGCCATCACCGCGGACCGAACTCCTCTACAACATCGACTACCGCTGGAAGCTGGCCGCCATTCGCGTGGGGCCTTACAAGTTGGTTCTCGGGGCGTCTTCATCCGACCAATTTGACGACTGGTACGAACCCATCGAGTCGGACGCCACCAATCCCTACTTGGAGTCGGCCGCGCTCAGGAAGGCCCTGTTTACCGACTGCGCCGTCCACAAGGCCCTCTGGGCCATTGGAAGGTCCGCAAAGGTGGGCTGGGCAGACGACGTGCTCCAGGTCGAGTGTGGCACGAAGCCCAACAACGCCAACGCTACTTGTCGGCCGAGATTAAAACCTTGCCTTTTTAACGTCGAGCAAGATCCCTGTGAATACAGGAATGTCGCCTCCACAGAAAGAAAGGTAACCATTGAGTTTCTTTCTTTTTAAGGCGTTCGACGTTTAAATGCAGATATTGTTCATAAGAAGAGCTCTTTGGCTTTTGTGTCCGTACTCGCATGTAGCCTTGAACAAAACGTGACGTCATGACGGCGTATTACCTGATGTCACGCGGCGTGACCTTCGTGCAGACATGACGTCAATGTCAAGTGACGTCATGGTGCGCCGTGATTGGCATCAAGATATCAAGCGATGGGTTCACCTGGCATCACTTTGTCACGTGCTATTACGTCACGTGATGTCAGGTAAGGTCACGTGACATCGGGACATCGAATCACACTGCGCCGTCATGTTGTCACGTGACGTGACCTCACATCATCCAGAAGGACCTTAACGTCTGGTGACTCAAGAACGTTGAAGGGCAACTATAAGTGATATACATGTAGTGCGCTGTTTTGGATAAAACAAAGGCACGTGCAGCTTTTTGTGACTGATCTCACTTGAATTATTTGAAAATAATAAAAATTTACTGGGTCTGTGGCAAGACGTAAGCTGTAAAGAGTGATCGCTAGGCTTACCTCCACTTGGCAACCGTGGAAAACTTTTTAAAAAAAGTTATAAATAGAAAGGAAGGAAACGTCTAGAATAAACCCCAATCGTATGAAAACTTTTCAGAGATCCCTTTTTTTTTAATTAAGTATTTTGTTTCCAAGCTGAAAATAATTTTTAAAGAACTCTACAGAAAGTGTCAAAGTTAGCCCGAACGCGGAATCGGCCCTTGATTGCATTGCGTGACCATGAACATTTGTGAACATAACTCTTATTGCCGCCTGCTAATATGCTTTCGTACGTCCCAACAATATATGGCATCAAAACCTCTATGGCATTCTTCAAAACTTATTTGATGAATGTTTCAAACCGGTACCATGACGGTGAAGCGAACTAACTCATGCTTTGTGTGTGTGCTACCTATTTCACCAAAAAGTAGACTGAAAAATAAAACATAAAAGCTAAATTAAGTCTTAACTTTTAAAAATAGGATCTGGTGTTCATTAGAGATCCGTACTAACATTCGATACTGTTATCAAGTAATATTCTCGTTTTAGGGCAACGTGGAACTGTCATAGTAAACTGTGAGTAGCAATTTGTCGGCTTTCGACAGAGATTCACTGTGAGCAGTGTTGTATTCTTAGTTTGTGTTTTGACTTCCAAAAAACTAGTCTCTGCTTCCTACAAATCCCATTTGACTCGAATGAAAGGATACCAAGAGTAAAAACGTGTTAGATCTTGGGCTATCATTTATCTGCCTATTCCCAGGCACTAAATGTATTATCTAATTACCGTTCAGTCGGAGCTGACAGGTTGTCAAAAGGGAAATCCCAGATTTCTCTGGTCAATGTTAGTGTAAATTGGAGCTCTTTACTTGTCAATTGCGGTTTCGCTAGCTTAAAATATGTATATCCAACTTCAATGTCAGATTGTTGAAATATAGGAAGTCCTCGCATTTGATGGGCTTGTTCGCTTTAGTACGTTCCGCTGCGCCGTTTCTACCCGGGATACTGGTGTATAGCCCCGATGCGTTCATCGTCACGAGGCAAGCATCTTTGGATAAAAACGATCAAAATTGCCGCCCACTTGATGTAGGTTCATTTTAATGGTCAGACATGCGGCTGGGTTTAAATATAAAAATATAGAGAGGGAGAGAGAGAGAGAGAGAAAACATATTTAATGACCCTTATTTGGGGGTATCAAGGGAGCATCCAGGAGGAGGTCAGTAAAAGAGCGGTGAGGAAAAGGGGATCAAAGAGGGCTGGCAGCATCATCTAATGCTTTCAGGTCAACTTCGATTGTGGCCATGTAATGAGGAATGGCATTAAAGATGGCGGGAGCGTATTGATCATTCGTTGGAAACAGCCACAGTTGCGAAGTCGTGGGTCAGAACCTGGGGGGGGGGGGGGGGGGGGAGGGGGAGGGGAGTGTGGAAAATGTAGAGCGGATGGATGACTGTGCATGGAGGCAGAGCTGTAGATAGAGAAAGTTTGGTCAGTGGGAGAAACGGGCAGAGCCAGCGCGTGCACCAGACGCCGAAAGAGGGCTTGATGTGCTCTCTTGGCCAACCAGAAATCGAAAATAATTCCCTAGCGATGGTAGCGAGAAACACTTTTAATAAGAGCCTAAAAGTTAACTGCAGTAACTCTTCGTGGTTGAAAATATGTTCCACGTGATGTTTCGATACGATCATGTTAAAAGTTGGAAGAAACAAATGTGCCGCTCGAACTCTGTTTTGCTTGGACGGCAGATGACTGACCATCGGCGCCTCGGGGTGCGGATCACGTGCCGTGATCGAATCATGACGTGCAATACATTTCCGGACACCGAGAGTTACTTCCACGCATTTTTTTTTTCCTCTCGACCACTGCCAGGGTATTATCCGCGGCTTCTTTTTGGTCCCATAGGAAATTTGTGAACGCGCCCTAGAACACGCCCAGCCCGCTTTTGGACAATGGCGCCTCCCCCATTTGCCTCCTATACTTCCCAATGAATGTCCAAACTATCTCTATATACGACTCTGCATGGAGGCAGTGCCAGTATTGTTGTTGGGGTGACCAGGAAAAAACATTTGCTGTCTCCTGAGCCCCTCGGAAGAGATGCATATGGTGTGCGGAGGGTTGGGTGTAAGTCTCCTGTCGACGTAGGCTGGCGGTCTGTTGCTGGGAGAGCGTGAGGGGGGGGGGGGGGGGGGGGGAGGTGATTAAGGGGCCTCTAGTTTCGCGGAGTTCTCAGGAGTATATTGGCGCTTTGTCGATGGTTTTCGGTACGTTGTAGTTGGTGCTCATCGGATTAAGGCTGGTCAAACACAGGTCCCAGAATGGATGTGACTCGGGGAAGAAAATGTAGTTATTTGTTGCCTGGCATCAGAGCGTGGTCAAAAAGTCCAGTGCATATAGAAGTGAGGGGTAAGAGTGGTTCTGAGAGTGGCGCGGAGCTCGCGCGACATGTGATTTGGAAGATGACTGTATTGAAAGGCACTGATTGTCTTTTGGGAGTCACTCAGAATTGCAGTGGAGGTGTGTCCTCGTCGGAGTTGGCGATGGGCGTGGTAATGTCAAAGCAGACCGCCTGTGTTTCCAGATATTCTGCTGAGAAGACATGATTGTACGTTTTAGTGAGCGAAGCGATGGTCTGGGGGCAGTGAGACGCAGTGGGGCCGTGTTTGTTGTTGCGATCGTAGCTGGCTTCCGTAGTTGTTGGCCGAAAGAGCGTTGATTTCTTTGGGTTATGAGTTTGGCTCTCTGCTGGCGGTGTGTGGCATTTCTGTCGGAATTCATGTGATTTGGTATGGGGAGGATGGTGATTTGGGGGATAGTGTACCTAGAAGGAGAAAACAAACAAGAGGGCAGGGGAAGAGACTTAAAAACGGGGGGGGGGGGGGGGGGGGGAACAAGGCCTAAAACTCAGCTAAAATTCTTCCTTTGCTCATGCGCCTTATAGTATCTCCTCTTTTAAATCTCATTTACGCAAACGCTAGTGCACTTTGCTTTCTGCTGCATTGTATGACTCGTAAGGAAGAAGTGCTTGGAACAAAAACTATTGGCCATGGAATATTCTACTCGGACGGAAGTCGGTGGGAAGCTAAGTTGACGGATCATGATGGGATTAGTTTTTCATTTAGTGTTCTGAGTTTTAGAGGAAGTCCCCAAGGTGAAGGAGATTTACGTAGGAATGAATTGGCTTTCACCTATAATGAGGCTTAACACGCGTCTTCTAAGCTACTTCCAGCCACCAATCGTCTAGGGGACGAAAGCTGCGCTCCGTTTCAGTTGGAAGCATTTTTATCCTTAGTTAAATCTTCTTGTCACCCTTGGGGAATTCTCTAAAGCTTATTATATTGTTGCGATGACTGGGAATCAGAGAAGATACCTTCTTAATTGCGGGGTTTAATTCAATCTGGTCAAAGCAGGCTCGTCAACGCTGACGCCGCCACCGCACCTGCGACAGCCATTCTTCATCTTTTTGGTGGCATTAGCCTGGGGAAATGTGTACGTCATCTCGACCAAAGGCTTTGGGTGTTTAATGGGAATTACCGATGGCGCTATGGTGTGAAGGGTGGGCATCATGGCTTTACGCGAGTATCGTGGACAATGTCTGTAGTCGCTCAACGGCAGTCAAACACGAACTGGAGAAATTCCACTTTGTACGTGACATCGGAGATTCGGGAGACACTTTTGTATGGGCCCACACAGCGACGTTGCAGCTTGATTGCTCGTCCTTGGTGTCTGACTGGAACAGAAGTTAAAAGCAAATCTCCAGCAGAAAGGCGGCAGTGCGATGCGTGGCGTTGTAAGGTAGAGATTGGTGTTGCTGTGACGAGCGAGAACCCCTCCGATTAAGCTGGCGCGCTCCTTCTGTCCGACACAGCATTTCAGCGACAATGAGCAAAAGCTGGACGTCTTTGTGTAGGTGAAAGAAAAGTTCCGCTCGGGAATGATGGGGGCGAACGGTTATACAGACGAAAAAATCGGGAGTCGTCGTGGGTTTCATGAACTGCAGTATCGTGCACGTATATGACAAATGGCAGTATCGCGTCCCAGTGGCGTTGGCCGGCCATTATATACATAGACAGCATATCAGCAATGTTTTGAATACGTCTTCCTAGCATTTCGTTCGTTTTGAGGTGGTACACGGTCGCAGGTGTAGGCACAGTGCCGCAAACCATTGCCGACTAATCTCAGCCTTTCGTGGGCTATTATATAGAGTGGTGGCCAGTGTTAACATCCCTTTGTTCTACTGACTGATAGCTCTTAGCTCACATGGTGAAGCACTCCGCTAGTCTCTGAAAGCTCTCGGGATCGGGTCCCGGAGAATTCAAATTTTTCAGCGGCCACAAATCACCTAGAGAGTGCCAGCTACGCTCCGTTTTAGGTGGAAAACAATTTATTGTTACGTAAGTTTTTTTTTAAATTATTATAATTTCTTTGTGCCGTACGACTTAGTGTTGGCCTTAACTTGTCGATGATGTGTATTTCTTTTTTGTGTGAATATTAACAGCTTTATTCAAACTAGAGTGTCCCTTTTTGTTGAGCATGTTTTATGTGTTTTCTTTTACTTGTTTTTGCGTTGAGCTTATGTAAGGTGCGCCTGAAATCACCAGGAGTCTTTGGCGCATGAGTGTGCCTCAGCGCTTTAATGAAATTTACATCCTGTTCGCTGCCCTTAACTGGGGAGGGTAGAGGCATCAGTCAGGCAGAAATATATTTGCCTCCATTAGAGACATTAAAACATGTAATTTTTAAAGTAAGGACCATTGAGTTGTCCTGGTGCTTAAAGTCATTGTTGCCGGTCATCTAAAGCCTTTTCTTAAATCACAAAGAACTGTTTTCTATTCTTCAGAAGTACTGAAACAATCATTACGGCTGCCACCGAAAGAAAATTGGGATATGGAGGGCCCATAGTCTAAGTGCCGCTAATTCAATAAATCTGGTCTCTACCACTTACCCTGCATGGCCTCTAAAAATCCAAGTCAACTTAAAATGTCAATATTTACTTGCAGCTCCTGGCAAAGCTCTTCTACAGGCTCCAGGAGTTTCAGCTGACTAACAAGCCGCCACTGAACAGGCCGCCGTCGCCGGCCGCCAACCCTGCCCTGCACTGCAACGTATGGGTGCCCTTCATGGACAGCGAGGTCACTGGCTTGCGGAAGAAATAAAAATCAGCATTATTATATCTTACATTGGCGACGAGTCTTATTATTCACGTGCAATGTGATGAAGAGAATGACTAAAGCGTGAAACACATGTATGAGCAAAAGTGACGCCACGTTCCGTCGCCGGGCGGAGTAAACGTATAGAAACCGCCCCTACCGCTGTGACGTAACCGATCGTCGCCCTGTCCTAAAGAGTCACGCATATTTTAATAAATCCGAAACACTTAAGTGCTCGAAACCGAAACACGCGTTCGTAGACGCGGAGGAGAGAATTTCCGGAAGTCACGTGGCGATAGCTCCCTTCACACGTTTTTCTCTTTCCTCCGCGTTTCGGGCGTCCGAAACAGACGAAGACGACGAGGGCGTTGCGTGAACCGTTTGGCGTGCGATTGTTTTGTACTTACATTTCTTCCCCTCGCTTTTCTGCGCTTGAACAACGAGTGGCCGGTACCACGAACCACAGTTCCGAAGTAGCGGTTCCTCGTCCGAAGCAACGTGGGTCCGTCGTGGGCCGCCATCGCGTCGTCCAACCCGACTTTTTGTTACCTGCGCAAAACTTTTTCTTTTGAACAACCTACTTTCAGATTCTTGGAAGCCACAAAAAAGGAGTTCAAAATCTTTTCTGTTTTTAGTATTGAGTGTGCGCCTCAGATGACCCACTGCTTTGAATATAGTTGGTATGCATCCGTTTGAGCGGCACGTGACCATGGAAAAGAGAGAGAGCCCGCCTGGAAACCGGTCGATTCTCGACCGGCGATTTTCGGGTGGACATAATACGAGTTTCTAGCAGCAAATTGTGTTCTGGCCCTGGGTAGTGGCCTCTCATAGGTTATGTCCAAATAACAACATCGTCATTCATAGAGCCCTATCAGTGTCCCTTTCAAGGAAAAGTGCAAAAATATTGAGATGTTTTTCACTTTGCAACAGCTTACTTACACTGGTGGAACCCACTGATCTTTAATATAGGAGGCTGGATGGTGCCTAGCTGATCTCCGAGCCTGGTGCAAGTGGAGCCACCGGAAGTTCGATGCGTGTCCCGTAAGTGGGGCGTCTCCTGGGCTTCCTAGTTCATTCAGACGATGTCACTGGTCCATGCTTTCCTGCGTATTTGAGTGGGTTTTAATAGTCCCATTTTGACCTCAATCCTCAAAATACGGCATTCGAACGTACACTTAATCAACTAGAATCTCAAAATTGTCATATCGACTGGCTCCCCAGGTGGCCTCTTGGGTTTGCGTAGGGTATCACTGCGCAACATGCGGGCTCTCTTTACATGTGTGTGACAAAATTTCATTTTCAAATAAAGTCATAACCAAGAAAAAATCCAGCGCACGAGACCCTGTCTGAAACTGCACAAGCAAGGGTTGTAAAGCCTGTCAAGCGCTCACTTCCGGGAGGAGCCGCTTACTTCCGGTGGCTTGATACGTGTTTGCTCAATGCGCCATTCAGCCTGCTAGCAGAGATCAGTAGTGGGACCCAAGCATTTTCGCACGAAATATAATTGATCAAGATTTCTTTCTGATGCGGTGCAATTTCAAGAATAAAAGCGAGCGTTTTCTTTCAATTTCTTCGCAAAACTTGTTGACGTAGCCTGAAGTTACATTGTTGGTAAGTACCCCAGTGATGATATTTCAATGCGGCTTATAGATTCAAGTTGGATGAGCTGAGCTCATAGATTCAACCTGAGCATTGCGTGACCACGCGATTTTGTCTCACCATAATAGGGAGTTTTAGAAGAGGGTGCCCCTACCTCAGAGGCCCAAAGAAATAGGGGCTCATCACTGCGCATGCACCGAACCAAAACCATGTTATCTGTTAGCGTTCATCCCTAGCACAGAATTCGCGAGGCCCCGAATCGAAACAAACATTGCGGCGCCCTTAATCACTCGCTTCAGAGCAAAACCAGAATTGTCGCTGCAATATAAGCCGCGTTCGTCGGTAATGAACGGCGTAGCAAGCTTTCAGTTTGCCTTACCTCGCTTAACTCACGAAGTATGAGAAATGATCCTACCCTGTATGGTGTAGCAGGCTTTCAATTTGCCTGAACTCGCTTAAATCACAAAGTAAGATTAATGACCCTACCCTATTTGCCCAATCGCCCTCCGATTATTGGCCGTGCTTAAGCGTGATTGGACGCGGTAACTGTTGACATGACGGCGCCTCGGGAATCCTTGCGGCTTCCCATGCAAAAATGTTTTATAGGCGTCTATAGAGACGCTTATGAATAGCTATCACGCTATCACCGTCTATGCCTTTCTATAGCCGGCCATAGAGTCATTGGATAGGTTTCCAGAGTGCTGAAACTTCCAAGCGCCGCGCCATGGCGCTCATATCAATCCATGTCCGTGCCGCCGTTTTGGGGCCTTGCATAGTACACAGTACGAAAACTATACCCATGCATGGCGCGCCGTCGGCTCTGTTGACACTTTTTTCCGGTAAGTGTGTGACACTGAATAGCCGCATTAGATCATTTACGACATCATTGACATGCAGTTTAGCTTGACTATTGTAATTGTTTCTCCCTGGTTCACTTTAAAGGGAAGCTAACAAGGTTTTGAAAAAAAAAGTTAGTTGTGAACACTAGAGTATTTTTATCTCCTAAACCTGAATATTACGTTCGTTACCCCGAAGATGTAACAAAACGAGAGGAAACTTGAAAACCCTCGACCAGTCGTTACGTCATACGCAGATCTTTTGGCCGCAAAGAACGTGTCGCTCGTGTGGACAGCACGTGCAGATGCCAACTTGCCAGGTATATTTCCCTGCACTGACACCAGTCGTGACGTCTTTTTCTGACCTTTTTGAAAATAGCAAGAGGGCGCGCACCTAGCTTTGAAAGGCGCTGATGATGAGCGAGAGCTCAGATTCTGAAAACACTGTATATGACGTCACGTTCCGGGAGACAGGGGCTTTAACGGTACTTTAAAAATTCTTTTCGACGACCTCCGTGCAAAAATCTGAAAAATAATCTCGTTACTAGTAATCATGGAGGTCTAACGAAGACGATTTACATGTTTTTTTTTTTTTCTCAATTACAAAACCGCTTTATTTCCTCTTAAAGGCCCCAAGTTCAAAGTCATACCGCACTCGTCAAATATTTAATTTTGAGATTAGTCCCTTCTTCCTATCGAAATATTCAGGCATTCCAATAATCCAATAATAGTCTCTGGCGTTTTCCCGTTGCAGTGGTGAACGTTATCGCTCAGAGCTTGTCTGCCTATTTCTGTCACCTCATAAAGTCGCTGGAATTTTTTAACGCTTTTTCAGCATTTAAAGGGGTGCTCTGGCGCTTTTTTTTTTACTATCTTATTTGCCTAAAAGAATGTCCTGAAGACAAAAGAAAACATCGTTGAAATAAAAAACCCAATATTGGGTCATCATATTGTTTTTTCGCGAAGTTATTGTATTTGCAATTTGGTCCCTATGTGTTTTTTTTTGTTTTGTTTTGTTTTTTAAGTGGACGTCTCTACTAAAAATGGAAAAGTGAGGTTGGTGGAAGGCGGGTGTTTACTATTTTTACTGTAGACTCTGTTCCCAACTGATTACCGGCAGTTTCGTAGTGTCAAATAAATCTTTGGGAAGCTCGCTCCGGTGGGCGCGCAGCAGCTCGAAATGCATGCTCGCACAGTCTATTTTTAGACCACCGCTCGATCTGAAAGCCTACCTTCCCCTGACGTCACGGTACTGAAACGTGGAGGTTTATTCGAATGTTATTTTTTACATTATTTTCACTTGTCGATTTCACAAACGTTATCTCAAATTTCGTAATGCTACCTAGCATACTGGAAAGGGTAAAGGTTGGAGATTCCGAAAATAAAGTTATTTGGAGCAGCTCGAAAAAATTCGTTGGAGTACCCCTTTAATCGATTTCATCGCATTCAGCATTTCAGCATTTCACCGATTTATTTACAACTGCATACAACATGTCTAAGGCTGGACAACAACAGGATAGAATAAAGCAGTCTGCTAGATGAAGCTTGCTGCGAAGTCCAGCAATGATTTCCCTGTGACGATTATCGAGGCAGTTGACAGTCGACACAATTGACAGTCGACAGTCGACACAAATGGGTAGTGCGGACAAATGTAACTGACGGAAAGTTACGAGAGTGGCTTGTGTGAAATCACTGACTCTAACCGGAAACACCAGCAAGATTCATCTCTCTCACTCGATAAATCAAATGGCATACCTCTCTAGGACCGTACTGTCAAGGTTTCATTCATGTTTCTTTAGCCACAAGACAGAAAAAATAGCAATGTAATCAATTAAAAAAAAAACTCGGATGACAAGCCTCTGAATGTCCACTCACAGAAAAGTGTTTGCTTAAATAGCGTGGCGATTCACTCGGACATTCGTGCTTCCAGTTGTGTTTTACCCTTCATGCGAAGAGAAGCAATTTGAATAGGAAGCACTGCAATCGAATTATTATTCAGATGCTTCCGTTCTTCACAGCATCGTTCCTGCCGAATTAAGCTTAGCCAAAGCAGCCTGATCGGTTGCAAGGCGACAAGCGACACGCCGAGAAGACCAATGAAATACACTCACCTCACAACGCTTGCTTCCTGCATTGGCCTTGAAATTCTTTCATTTTACAATGGCCAGCAAAGTGTTCCTCCGCTTCGCAGTAGCGCTGTTGCCTGACGGGAAGCGGAAGAGTCATTTGCTGTGCGTACTCTGACCCGCTTCTGAACCCGAAGGAACAGCAAGCAGGCGATAGGTGCCGCGAAATAACAAACGTTCCCTACCAAAAAAAAACTATAACTTTTTGCTATTTGCATTATGGAACTGGAAATATACCTGAATTTCTCGCTGGAAACCTGAAATCCAGATTGCGGACAAAGGATTAATTTCTGAAAACCTGAAACCCAGTTAGAATCCAGATAGATTTCCAGTTCCATAATCCAAGTAATGAAACGTTATACTGGATTTTTCGGTAGTGTTATGATGCGATCCTCTGAAAATACGGGTGTCACGGTGCTAAGCAGCTGAGAAACGACGCGGAACG